ACTGAGTCATAATTCAACTTTTTGAGGTTTTTTTCCTTTAAGATGATCAACTTTTTCTTATTTATGAAACACCTATGTTCTTAAATCCTCTTTTCTCAAACTTGCATCACTCTCTGCACATTCAACACTTGTGCAATCACCAAGTTTCTGCCGTGCTTGGGAACCATCTAAGAATTACTAAAAACCTACTAAAAGGATGCAATCAGCTCCCACAGAACCACAGCACTTGCAGCAGCCTAAGCAGGAGGCAATATTTGCCCCTAATTTGTAAGTTTTCAACTGGTATTTCATAAAAAGCCTCTAAAGACCTCAAAAGGTATCTCAGGAAAGGAAATTTACCGTTAGCTGGCTGAAATTTACTCCACCAATGTTCCTCATTTCCAACAGGAAATAACTTGGGGAGTCCTAAACAAGAGGCAGAAACCCCCTGAGTTCACTTCCCTAAACTTGGAACCTGAGGAAAAGGAGAAAGTGGTGGCTGCAATTTAGCACCTGAAGAATTACAGACTACAAACCAACTCTCTTCCAACAGATCAGCCATAGGGAGAAGGATTTGGGAGCGCTGCTGGGTGAGAGGTTGGACATGCCCTGTGTCCTGGGCTGACCCCACAGCGTGGGCAGCAGGAAATGGGGGATTCTGCTCTCTGGGATCCCACCTGCAGAGCTGCCCCCAGCCCTGAGGGGCAATCCAGAAGGACCTGGAGCTGCTGGAGGCTGTCCAGATGATCAGAGGGATGGAGCAGCTCTGCTGGGAGGAAAGGGTGAGGGAATTGGGATGGTTCAGCCTGGAGAAGAGATTTGGGGTGACCTAATTGCAGCCCTCCAGTACCCGAAGGAGCTGACAGGAAACACAGGGAGAGACTTTTTACAAGGGCCTGGCGTGCCAGGACAAGGGGAATGGCTTCACACTGACAGAGAGTGGATTAGATTGGATATTAGGAGAAATTCCTCCCTGTGAGGGTGGTGAGGGTGGCACAGGCTGCTCAGAGAAGTGTCCAAGGCCAGGTTGGAGCATGGACACCAGGAGGTGTCCATGGCAGGGGGGTGGAACAAGATGATCTCTGAGGTCCCTTCCAACCCAAACCAGTCCGTGATTCTAAGGAGCATCTTCTCATCAGTTCATGGAAGTTTCAGCAGAATTCCCCCAGTCACTCCTGCCTTTGAAATACATGTTCAGCAGAGACTGCTGAGGTGCCCTCCCAAAACAAGCACCACAGCTGAATGCCGGAGTTGTGAAATAATTACTGCTCTGTGAATTTGAGCAGCCACTTGCAGCTCTGCAGCTTTATAAACAGGAAGTGTGAAGCTCTGCATTCATACCTGCTTTCATCATATGACAGAGCCCTGAAGCCATCAAATACTGGCTGACATAACAAGCCTCGCTGTAGAATCTAGACTGTCTCCACAGTGGATTCTATTCATTCTGATAGCTAAAAAAAAAGCTATCAGAGAGACACTTCTAGGCATTTTCACCACATGCCTCTGAAACTCAAGGCTCAGAAAAGCACAGGTTTGTACTCTTAGAAAATAACATATCCCCAAGAACCTTCACCTCTCTATCATGGTCAAGCTCTGGTTTTCAGCTGTGAGAGAAAATAAAGCAGAACACTCTCCTTCATGGAATACAGAAAGAAAAGAATAAACTACTAAAATGGTTCCCTGACTGTTTTTCCTGAAAAGATGTCTGGGATTTAAAAAGTTAATTTCATAATCTGGAGTAATAAAAAGCAGTTTTCCATGGGCTGAAGGGCTGAGTCCGTGGATTTGTCACCAGGCTGAGATCGACAGCCTCAACTAGATGATGATATATTTGCACAAGTTTTCCATCATCCTCTTGTCAGATTTATGACATCTGTACGCTTGAGGATGTTAATGATCAGACACCAGATATATTTGCCTTGATTTAAATAAAACAAATGTAGCTATTTTTCAAATTCAATCAAGACACAAAAGGTCATTAGCAAGATTTATCCTCTGCCCATCACACATTAGTCATTACTGGCACACACTCACCATCCTCCTTGTGGGTTAGAGAGGGTTTTTGTTACTTTGGTGCTCTCAACTTGGTACCATCTCAGAGACACAAAACCAGGGAAGAAAACAGCCTTAAAAACCACCATGCCATGAACTCTCCAGAGGCAAAACCTGTGGAATTGATACACCTGCAAGTTTTGCCTTGCTGTTGGCTGGCATTTTAACTGCATGTGCATTTTCCAACAACAGCACTGTTTCTGTGCTTACATTTTGCTCTTTTTCTCAGAGATCACTGAGCACAGGACCAAACACAATTAAATGGATTTATCAGCAGTCACTCACTTCTCCAAATTCTATGCTCACTGACCATGCTGATGTTGTGGCAGTCCCCCTTCTTCCACCCTGCACTCATGAAACAAAAATCACACCTTGCTTTGAGCAGAAGGAAAACTCTGCCTTCCTCTCTGGCCCAAATTTGACAGATCCATGATCATGCACCAACATTTCTTTTAAGTGGTTCCCTGACTCAATATTTAGCATAGATAATTTAGCTGAGAATGGCCTGAATTACACCTGCTCTAAGTAGCATTCACAGAAACTTTTACTACAGATTCTACAGTTTCATAATTCACAAGTACTTACATAAATTTATACTCAGTCTACGATTATCCTCTCAAAGCTACTGAAGAACACATTAACAGCCACTGGAAAATAGAATCCATAAGGATCTGAAATCAACTGGCCACCAATACCACACAGGAATGTCTTTCCTAGAATTCTGATTAAAATATTCCATATACAACACAGGACTGTGCAGGAGCTGCTGTAATGATACAGGAGCTAACACAATAGTGATAAAAGGTTTTTTTAAATAATGTTTTATTGGCCCAAAGCCAGCCCTTTGAAGAACTGGGTGTCAAGACTGGCAGCAGGAGAACTAAAAGGTAAGACAGGTTTTAGAGCACCATCTCCTTGGCAAGGCCAGAGCACCCAGCCAGCCTGATGGACACAGTGGCAGGAGAGGAATGGGAAATCAGAGACAAACGTTGGAAAATCCACCAAAACAGAACACTGGCTGACTTGCAGCACTGCCCTAAGCAGAAAATTGCTGTTGGAGCTTAAGTCTAAGAAAAAAGCAACAAGCTCAAGAGCCACAGTACCACTTCATGCCACCACAAATTCAGTTTGATAAAATAACTGACAATTTTATGCTCAGTTTGGAACAAAGCACTTCTGACTTCACCTCTAATGACCTGCCCAAGGATTTCATCTCCTCACAAAGAATCCATCCTCGGAAGGAGGTCTGTGGGGTCAGGAATAGCTCTCCTCACTTCCCATCTCATACCTTTTCCACAGCAACACCACTTTGTGCCTCTGGCTACTATAAATAAGATGACCACAATTGGCAAAATTCATAAAAAGAGATGTTTAAAATAGCACCCCTTGCTTTCCACTGCCAGGCTGCACAGGCAGACACAGATCTCAGGGAGGCTGGTGAGGCTCCTGTGACCTGCACTGGTGGACACAGGACAACTTCACCGTGCCCATCCACAGGGCCACGTCACCACAGCAGAGTCAGCTGCCTGTGCCAAGGAAAAAAAGAGGAAAATAAAACAGCAGGACTGTCTCCTGTTCAAGGGTGGAAAAGGCCCTCAGCACCAGGCCGCTCTGGCACTTTCATCTCCTCGAACAGAAGTTATATTTTAGCTACAGTTATTTATATTGTGAGCCTTTAACCACAACTCCCCTCAACTTCACAACCTTTGGTTACTACCAAAATGGAATTGTAATAAATGAAACTGCTTAAAAGTCAGCCTGATTTTCTGAAGCAGCATTTTTTTCCCAGATAGTCTGAACAACTGAAATTCAAACTGGTGACTCAAAAATACAATCACAGCATTCTGAATGATTACCACAAGTACAGGTAACCACTACTGATTACTCATAAAGAATTCCCAGCAGAAAAATCTGTACAAATACCACCTAATACAAAACTTTCTCACCATTTAAGAACGAGGAAACAGTGTTAGAGAAGGTGGATCTAATTGGAGATAAATATATTTGTTTTGTTTTTTTTTTTAACCTTTACGTTTATCCATTATCTCTGTTTGTGTCCACAGAAATGCCACAAGTACCAGCAAGGTTCTGTGGAAGCAGGAATGGTCTAACAAATAATGTTTTGATAACTGGCCTGTTTTATACATACAGTGATTCACTGGTTAAGTAAACAACAAAGTTATTTAGCAAAACATCAATTTATAACAGAGTGCCTAAAACAACCTTTCTGGTCTCCTACAGAGAAACAGTATTGAAGGTCTCATATAGAGAAGAAAAACATCCAGAAAAGCAACAAAGAAAAGTATTATGTTCACTGTGCAGAAATAGTTTCTTATTAAGAAGAAATTATCAATTATGAAGCATCAAGATCAACTGCCTTGATTTTGAAGCAATGTAAGAGTTTAAATCTAACTTTAAAATTCAAAACACTTGGTTTTTTTTCTTTAGGGACTCTGGAATATACATCGTGACCAAATGACTGTGTTCTCCACCAAACAGCTTATTTCAAACACTTCCTGATATATTTAACTTCACACCTCAACCAAGCTGCATTTATAACTCCAGCTCTTCTAAAAATACGTGCACCAGAGCTTTCAAAGACTTCCTATACTTTCACTAGCAGTGAAAATCCTTCAGGGCTGTTATGTTTAAAATCTGTAACAAGTGACTTTGAATCATACGTTTGTTTCTCCTGCTTGACACTACGTTGCTCCATTTCCTATCTGACATGGCATCCCTCAGAGGCTCCACCAGAAAAAAAAAAAAATAGAAAATATTTAACAAAACCCCCCCCTTTCACGTCAGTTTGTTTCTTTTTCAGTTAACACCCAGTGGTTCCTCCCAGTTCTCCCTTATCACTCCTGACATGCCTCTCACATGCGAGCAGGAATAAAAAGGGCAGCCATAGATTGGCTTGAGCTTCTGAATTTTATCAGGGCTTTAAATATCAAACAGGTGAGCTGCTTTACCTGCGCTGCATCACGTGAACGCACAATAGGGCAACAATTAGCAACACCTGTCCTCCCTGCAAACCATTTACTGCTGACAATTCCTGTCCCTCTTTGTCCTTGGACTTGGCTATCAGTTCCAGAGCCAGGGAGCTTCCAGGGTGTAGCATGCCGTCGCCTTGGAGCCCTGCAGCTGCGAGCATTCACCATTCAGCTTGTTTATGTTTTCCCTTCGCTAGTCGCTCTTTAAATCCTCCGGGAGGACCCTAAACCGGGCTGAAACAGCGACATCGAGCCCGAGCCACGCACGCCACATCCATCTTGCCATGCGGAGCTGCAGATGCGTGATCCCCGAGCACGGGGAAGTAAACACGAGGAGCCGGGAGCTGTGTGACAGCCCTGTCACACCGGGCTTGGCAGCGCTGCCCGATTTATCCCGGCTGCCCGCGCACAGGCGGAGGCCGGGCCGAGGGGCGGCGGGGAGGGGACGGCACCGGCGGCGGGGACCGGGCCCTGCCGGGGCCGCCTTAAAGAATTGGGGAGAGATAGATAAATAAATAAACAGAGAAGAGAGATAAATAAATAAACCACGGGGTGGAGGCGGCGGGGAAGGAGCCCCCGAACGGCGCAAGTGCCTCCGCGCGGGGTCCGTCATGGAGGTGCCGCCTCACCGCCCGCTTGGCGGGGGGCAGCGCGGGGCCCCCCCACACCCCTCCTCCCCGCCAACCTCCACCCACTCGCGCGTCCCCTCAGGGGCGGCTGAGGGGGAGCCGCGGGAGCGGTCGGGGCTCTGCAGTGCTCCTCGGCTCTGGGTTCGCTCCGAGGCCGCAGAGGAAGGGAGCTGTGACGAGGAACGACGTGGCTCTGCCCCGGCACAGGCGCTTCGGAAGGTGTCGCTTGCGAAAGCTGTCAGCGCTTCCCGTAGCGTGTACCAGCGAGAGGAGAAAGGCTGCGGTGCGATGGGGGCCCCGGCGGAACAGCCCCAAGCTCGCTCCTGTGGGAGGGTGAGAGACGCTGCACCCTCAAAGTGCACAGGGAACAGCCCCTCAATCCCCTCGATACTCACAGGGAATGAGCCCTCAGCCCCCTCAAACCTCACAGAGGATCAGCCCTCAGGCCCCTCAAACTTCACAGGGATCATCACTTCGATCCTCACAGGGGATGAGCCCTCAGCCCCCTCAAACCTCACAGGGGATCAGGCCTCAGCCCCCTCAAACCTCACAGGGAACAGCCCCTCAATCCCCTCGGATCCTCACAGGGGATCAGCCGCTCATTCCCTTCGGATCCTCACAGGGGACCAGCACCTCAGCCCCCCAAAACCTCATAGGAATCATCCCCTCAATGCCCTCAAACCTCACAGAGGATCAGCCCTCAGCCCCTCAGACCTCACAGGGAACAGCCCCTCAATCCCCTCGGATCCTCACAGGGGATCAGCACCTCAGCCCCCCAAAACCTCATAGGAATCAGCCCCTCAATGCCCTCAAACCCCACAGGGAATCAGCTCCTCAACCCCACAAAAAAATCATAGGGGATCAGCCTCTCAAACCTTCCATGATCAGCCCCTCAAACCTCTCAGGGGGAGCAGCCCCTCAGCCCCCTCAAACCTCTCAGGGCACGGTGGTTCTCCTCAAAAAGTCCTCCAAGTCGCAGGGCTGCAGGCATGGGGTGACAGTAGGAGGTTCCTGTTCCATTAAAATGTCTTTTCACTGTCTGAAGCAGAAACACGGGCTGAATTGTAAAAGGATCAAAACCACCCCTGCCCTTTGCTGTTCTCCAGCATGTTTGCTTTTAGTATTCAGCCCAGGACTGACACAGAATGGGAGGATTTCCCAAATGGCTTTGTTACAACATTAAGCCTGGTAACCTACCCTGGGTCACTCCCGAGCAGAAAATAAGGAGTTTGAAAGAAAACACTGATTTCTAAGGGCAGCTTGTTCCAAGGATTGTTCCTGCCCTGAAACAAAGCCTGTGAAAACACCAGTTGCGAGTCATTCCCTAAGTTACTGTTTCCTCACAGAATGATCTTGCCACATCGGAGCTGCAGAAAGGTCAAGCCGGAGTCGCTTTCTCGCTGATGTAAGTTCATGCGTAGGTATTTTTATAGCAAACATTCCAAACAAATTTCATATCTGATATGCAAAGCCAGGAATGCTGCTTACAGAGACACAGGCTCCAAGGCCAAATTTCTCCTCATGTAACCCAAGTGCAAACACACTACAAATGAAATAAGCTCCATAAAGCCTCCTTGTATATTTTCTGAATTTTTTATTTACCTTAGATTTGTGGCATATAAAAAAAAAAACATATCATTTTCAAGCATAAAATCTGCCATAAAGGGACCTTTTACCTCTCTTATGAGGATGAGGGGGAGGACTTAAGTGATTTTTAAAAATATAAATTAAATTGGTGGAAATATACTTCACCCATCAGCCACTGATTATGTATTTATCATTTAAAGAGTAAAGGTAAATGTAAAGGTAGCAGAGGAATAAAAGGATATAAGCAGCCTTGATATATATATATCCTCTTATTCCTACCCTACCTTTACATATCTCTTCTCAACATAGCTTCTCACCAAGCAGCTTTCAGTTTAGATACAAAATAAACTCTTTAAAACATTTGAGAATGAATTCAACAAACATGGCAACGTGTCAATCAAAAGCCTAAGTTGGCAATACCAGAAACAGCTGGAGAAATCTGTTTTATCTTGTGATTAAGTGAAATATTCCATGGCATCCCTACAGCCATGCTCTGTTTGTGATGGATCCCTTTCTTAAAGTATTAACTCTCAGCTGAGGAGATGGGGTTTAATTCCTGACTTCTCTGTCGTGTTCCTGTGTGACCTTACGTCCAGTAATAATATTTTGATGTTTTGGTTTCTCCTCTGAATTACAAAGATAATGACCGAGTCCCATTTTGCCTGGAACGAGCAGCACTGGGACACAGCCAGCCCCGAACTGGCAGAGCAGTTAGAGAAAGCAATTAGAGCAGGAAGCAGCTTCAGTGCTGGGGTAGGGCAGCTCCACACCAATTCCTGCTGGATTTCAGGCCAATTCTCCATGGCTGTTTATCCTCAGGCTCTTACTAGAGAGCAACAGCCAACCCTGAGCACCAAGGCTCACCAGAGACCTGGCACAACACTGCCAGGCCTGTTTTGTCTACACCCAGCAGAGAGGGACCCTGCCAGGACAACTCTGACACCACACAGTTTGCAAAATTATTCCATTTTTATCTGTGATGTCAAGACAGAACCTCTACTCACAGTTCACACAAACCCTGCTCTCAGGCAGTAGAGATTATCAGGCAGTGTGAGGGGTTTAATGACAGCTAAATTATGAAAAAAATGAATGACTGAAATTATAATTACAAATCAGGTCCTGCCACCAGCTTATAGTCACAAACAGCTGAGTGGGTATTTGGTGCAAATGAGGAAGCAGAACGCTCTAGCAAGGAGTTCCTTCCACTGTGGGAAGGAAAAGGGATTGGAGTGATGGTTCTTAATAATGGCTAACATTTCCTATTAACCAAAAAACCCAGACCTCTTTCCAAAGATAATGTATGACACTTTAGGGAAAACCCAACTAAAGCGGCATCCCTCATGTCCCAGAGGTACAGGCAGTGTCCAAGAACCAGCAGAATTTTGTTTGAAGAGCATTTCAAAATCATTTACTGGATCCATTGTACACACGGTGGCCTGCACCAAATTTAATCACAAAGATACTCTGGATTGGAAAGCCAGGCTGGAGGCTCCCGATGGCAGTGTCTTTGTTCAGATTAAATTAAGCATGTTCTCAAAGGCACTGAAGCAAGAACCCAGAGATAAGGCTGTGTGTGCTAACCCTGGATTAGATCTGGCAGTAAGTTTTTACTGAAGCCTTACTGGGGAGCACAAGATTAGATGTTGCTGCTATTTAAGTGCTGTGTCAAAGGTAAATGAAATTAAGATACAGTGAATTTAGACTTGCATTAGATGAATTGAGCTCCTCTCTTGTCACAGAGAAGTGTTACGTATGCAAATCGAACTGGGCACGTGTCCTTTGGATTGCTGGAATTTATTTAATTATTCGCTAATCAAAAACTAATTCACAAGCACTTAGCAAATATCTTTAAGTGTCTCTGCATCACTGTCAAGGATCTGAGGCAAAGCAGGTATTTACTGCTGCACAGGAGCAGCGGGAGCCTGGCAGCACAGCAGCTGTCAGGCTCTGTGAGGCTGCTGCAGTCCAAGGCTAAGGCACAGGGAAGAATCCACAGCCCCTGGCTCCAGCTCAGCCCACAGCAGGCAGCTGCAAGGAGAAAGGGTTTGGAGCTGCACTGGAAAGGCCTGAACTCAAAAGGGACGAGCCAAACAGCAGAGGAGCTGCTGCAGTGACTCAAAAACACTTCTGAGAAGAGCACTGTAAGGCCTTAGGATTTCCTGTTTCACGTTCACTAAAACAGAAGCCAAAAATGCAATGCCTCTAAATCTGTGCCTCTTGCCCCAATACCTGCCTCCCCACCCTGGGATATTGTTATTTTTTTGCGGACTCTTCTTGGCACTGGACAAACACAAGACAACTTTTACCCCTTCCTGCTATAGACAGCCCTGACAGGAGTGTGGCAGAGCACTTCCCAAATATTTGAGAAGAGTAGAAAGTGGGAGAGAGAACAAGATGCAATAAGAGGATTCAATCAGGTCTGCAGTGGTCAGAGCTAAATGGTTTCATATCTAATTACAGTGAACTGGTGAATGAGAAAAATACCCCGAATCATTACCTGCCAGTCTGATTCTGATGTTATCAGAGAGAGAGGAAATACAACAGGCTTCCTCAAAGAACAACAGAACAATATTCAAATTGAAACTTCTATCACATCCCACAATTTCCAGGAAACAAGTGGCTTAGAGTGGTAGCAGAGGGTGACAGATTTATATGAACTCAGGGGGAAATAAAAGGAGCAGATTCTTACCAGGTCCCTTCTATTGCTGTCATGTAAGCTGTACTCCCACATTATTGCCATTTTTTGTAGTGGAATACTGCAGGGGAAAATGAAAAAAATTAATTTTAAAAAACTGAAAAATGAAATTGAAGTCATCCCCCTTGTTGAAGGGACATGCTAATGAAGGCAGTGCTCACCAGGGCTGCAGTGTAGTGTAGCCAGGGGACTCTCAGAGTGAATGATTGGGATTTTTTCCCCTCATTTCCAGTTTGAGGGCACTTCTCTTTTCACACCTGCTCTAGAGATCCCTTCTTCCCAGTACTCTCATGACTTTTTGGAGCAGCTGCCCATCTCCACCCCCCGATGCAGCTGCCCCTGTCCCAACAGCCAGGCCTTGCCCTGTCACCATCCCCTGCTGCTTCCCGGCAGCAGCAGACACCTCATCCCCTCCTTTTTCCTGGTGAGTTCCAAGCGGGGCGGGGACACGGGAGAGAACAGCGCGTCCCTCTGTCCCAGAGGGCTGAGCTCTGGTGACAGTTCAGTGTGGGGGTGACAGCCACTGCTGCGCAGGCAAGAGTGACAGCCCTGCTCTGCACACCCACGCGTGCCAAACGCCAGACCTGTACGTCAGGTTGTGGCAGATAGGGGAACGGGGTTTGGATGGCACTGCCCAGGCTCCAGAAAAGGCAGCAAGGGAAGTGGGAGCATCCCTCAGACCTCATTTGAGCTGTGGGCTACCTCTGTTTAATTCTGCCACCCCTTTATGAGAGAATTAATGAATGTTTCTGCTGAGCCACTTACCCTGGATGTTTGTGTTCAGGGAGCCCGTGACAGGTTTAAAGCTGCTCAGAAGTGCTGCTCACATTGCTGCTCAATCCATAATTTCAGCTCCTGTTATTAATAGTAGGATCTCCACACCCCAGGAAAGTGAGGCATGTCACACGCATTCACAGCTATTTTAAGGTTCGTGGGTAAGTGGTCCCCCACTTTTCCTGCAGTTGCCTTTGAAAGACAGAGAAGAAAACACCATAAGGCACCCTCCACTCTTGATATTCTCCTAAGCAAGGCTTCCCTGTGCGTGGAAGGGTGGCACAATCACACTTGAGGCCCACAAAGAACAGTGACAAACTCTTCTTTCCTGGCAGACTTTGCTGCTGCTCCTCCAACCCAGGGGTAACAAGGTGCCACAGCTAATGGCAGTCACGAGTTAAGTGTAATGCTTTGGATATTTATAAAAATATCACGTCCTTCCCGATTTTCTATCAACCTGTTTGATTATGCTTTATACAGGGAAAGTGTGACAGAATTAATCAGCCTGCTGGAGTGCACACTAAGGGAACAGATGAGCTTTGGCAAGACTGTTGTTAGCACTGAAAAACTGTGACAAAAAAGAGGCAGACTGCAATCCAGACACGTGTCATTCAGAAAATGAGACATGCTATGATTTATCAACGTACCAACAATTGGTGGGAATAGAGATCTCCCATTTCAAAGTGTTGTCTCTGTGTAGATTAAGAGTAGTATCTGTCATCAGGAAACAATGGGAGAAGAAATGTATTTGATAAAAGCAATTCTGTGCTCCCTTGTAGACAGAAACCACTGTGGTGTTGGAATGGAGGTAAAGGATTTCTCTGCAGTTCCATCCAGGGCAGTAAAAAGCACCAGCGTTGTGACAAGAGGAAGTGCAAATAATTAATACCAGAAGATCAAATGAAAGGAGTGGCTTTGCAAGAAGTGACTAATGTTGACTCTGCTCTGGGAAGGCCCAGATTGCGTTGTGGAAAGAGGAGTTTGTGTGGCCCCCAGAGCACGGCACACAGCAGGCAGGGACTCACCACGGCAGCACCACGGGGCACCTCTCCCCTGCAAAGAAAGGGTTGCTTTCTTCTCAGCTCAAAGGCTGCTGCCCACAGCGTCCCCAGCACTGCAGCAGTTTGATTGTTGTGTACAGAGAAAGCAACACCAAAGCATCAAACACAGACCAACTTGGGGAACATTTTGCCAGCAGCTGATACAGTGGGAAGCGCATCTCAAAACAGCAGGGCAGCAGAGCAAAACAAAAGCCACAGAGCCAGAGCTGTTGTGTCATTTGGCACATCCTGGCACTTCCCTTAATTCTGCTTCAGAACTTGCAAGGGAAGGCCAAAGCTTCTTATTTGCTAATTAAGGTTTCACACGACTCAAACATTGAACAAAGGACATCCCCAAACAGAGAAACCTGCCAGCCTTCGTGCCCCTGCCAGCAGGCTGATGTCTCAGTTCAGTGCTCTCCCAACACAGAGTGAAAGAGCTCTGGACAATGGCATATCCAAATGTGCACACACACACACATTTTTATGCTGGCATGCACACATTACCTCTGATCAGATTCTGAAAGTTCCACCTCCCTGTTTTTGTTAAGGACTCCAGACACCCTACAGACAGGGGTGAAACAGGCATTAAAACAGCAGACCTCTGTTTTATGGTGTCAAATGGCTAATAATAGTAATTAAGGATCTTAAAGTCCTTTATCAAGAGGCATTATCTAAGATGGCATCATGCCTGTAATCAGAGTCAATGAAAAACTGTTTGATCAAGCCAAGAAGGCAACTAAAACAGTCTGATGAGTTGCCATCTGCTCAAGCCACGCCACCCCCTGAATCCAGCAGTGAGCTACTGCAGGACACTGACAGTCAGGTTGTTTTCCTGTCATTTCAGCTGAACACTTGGTGCCTGTCGATGTGTTCAGAGGACTCCCAAACCCAAACATGACAGATCACTGCTGGACATGTTGCTCTGACAGCATTTTGCCTTGCTGCTCTTGTGGATGGATTGTGCCCATGCAGCAAGGTGTTAATCAGAATTAGGGTTAATCAGAATTTTGCCTACCATATGAAGTATTTGCATGTATATTTATTTTATAAAATGTATGGTTAATTGATCCATAAAAGCCTTTGGTACTCGCTCAGCCTCTGGGTAAAAGTCCAGCTACTCCCAGAAGAGCTTTTGACTCAGCAATTGTAGTAAAATTTAGGCCTGGAGTATGGAGTAGACTCTTGAGCAGATTCTTAGCAATAGAAGACAAGTTCAGGGTAGATGAAGGTTGCCAAATTGTCACAGTTTGAAAAAGAAAATTGGTATATTCAAGGAAGGAGCAATTTGAAGTTCTTACAAAGCACTTGGACACCGCAATGATGGGCAAGAGTTTCTTCACTCATTTTGCTTTCTCTTATCACTTCCCAGCTGTTTCTTCTACTTTCAGGTAGTTTCAATTTATCCTTCTATTTTTACCCACACAGTTCACTAACAACCTTCGAGTTGAGATTCTTCTGGCTTTAGTGATGAGGTGCCAGCTGTGCATCCCTGCAAGCTGGTGCATGTACGACCTTGAAAATTTCTGGAAAGCCAATCAGGAGGTGCTTTCAAACACTTTCCTATCTCCCAGAGAGCATCTCTCTGTTTTTAGCTTTAGATATATATCACATTATAACATCCAGAGCATTGTGCAGGCATTACCCAGCTAATGCCAGCCCAAACCCCTCCCAGCCTGTACCCTGTTATTGCCTAAGTAACAGCTCCTCCATTCCACTGGAGCCAGCCCAGGGAGTTCTTTCTGCTTCCTTCTCTGCAGGAATATTAAACCAGAATGAGAATGAAGAGAGCTGTTAATTTTATGTCACGGCAAGGAAACTGAAGGTCTTCAGATCACACTTTCTCCTCAGTCTTTTAATTGCAAAATTATACTTCAAGATTTGACACAAGTTTCTCACCTCCCTGTTTTCAAGCTACTAGCAAGCAAAACCAGACAAAAAAATGCTTTTTTTTTCCTGCTCTGCAGAGCCTGTTAATTTCAGATAGGTGAAATATTGCTAATTAGTAGCATATTCTAACAGAACTTGTGATTTTACAGAGAGCTATGTCAAACTAAACCAGATTAGGGGTCAGAATGTGCCAATCTTTTCATTGTTGTCACTTTGTGATTTATGTTCCCCCTCAACATGTGCCCTCCCAGGTTCTTGGAGCCCTTGGCTAGCACTGCTCAGCTGCTCCACAGTTATTCCTCACACCAGATCCAGCCATGAGACATTCACAGCACGCTCTTCTCACATTTTCTCTAAACATTAGGTACAACAGCAGAAATAGAAATTGGAGATTTAGAAGCAAGAGACACAGGAATCTGGGTGGAAAGATGACTAACAGAATTTTTGCTAAATAAAAACATGGAAAAGGGGTAAAAAAAAAGATTCCTGAGCAGACATAATACCTTTCTTTTTCTGGATAAGCACTAATCTAGGCCCTGGAACACTCCCACTTCTAGATATGATGCTGAGTAACATGTTTCTAATTTCAAATTAGATTTTAAAGAAAATAATGGGAATGCTCCTTAAATAAGTTAGAATGAGTCTTCATATGGTCTCCTCCAGGTCTCACACGTTTTACCTTTGCCATGAAACTAACTCCACAATGCTTGAGCAGCAGTGTGCCATGACCCTTCCCTGTCATCCCTACAGCCATCCACAGTGTCTTTCCTTTTGATTAAACTTCACCTTCCAAGATGGAAATTCATGCCCTGCCTCAGGATAACACCCTGCAACAGGATCTGAGCATCTAGAGACCCCATGGGGAGTTACACAAGCCATAAATCATCAAATCCCTCTTTTTTGGGCAGATTAATGTCCTCTAAGTTACTCCTGCCATAAGCTATAAACAGCAGAATATGCACTTCTTTGCATTCCAGCATGTTGTGGGAGATCATAAAGGCACTTAATATATTATTTAAGCCATTTAAGCAAGATAGCACAACTGCTGTAATTAGCAACAGTTCTCCAAATCCCCATATGCCAGACAAAGGCTCACGTTCAGCATTTCCAGGCTGGTAGGAGGGAATCAGAACATCACAGAAATAAAAATCCATGCTCTGCTTTTTATTCCTCCTCAATCTCAGCAGAGCCTATGTTTCACTACAGCTACTCCCCTGCACCACCATACAAGAGACCCACAGCATAACATAAAGAAAACTGCCCTTTTTTGGGCTTATTTTAAGAATAACAGGCTACTCAAAGCTTTAAGAAAGAGAAATGAAGCCACTTCTCTTGACAGCTGCATTCTGCAGGCTGGAGGGGAACTTCCTTGCTTTTCCTTTGAATAAAGCCAAAATACAACGAAAACCAAAACTTGACTTCCTCTAGAAAATCCATGAACTGAAGTCAGTGTTAAGTGGGAATTTAGCAGCACTCCAAGCAGCAGCCAACCTTTGTGCATCCAGGGTCAGGCACAGGGCAGAGTGATGGAGGCACAGGAATGAGAGCAGAGAGGCAGGGTGAGCACGCAAAGGGCAGCAGTGACAGCACAGGGATGAGACCTGAACGCTGCCACGAGCCTGAACTTCACTGCCCCGTGGAACCCCAGGACACAAAGAACAAAAACAAACAAAGAACATCGCTGGGACAGACACCAAAATCTTCTAAAGGAGCAAGGAAAGGAGATACAGAGCTGAGAGCCTCTGCCACCAAGGGGGCTGTGAAACTGGGGGTGCCATGGCTCAGAGAGGGGAGATGCTGTCCCCTGCCCCATTCCCCAGGCAGCACCAACTGGGAAATGTGTACCAGCATCATCATTTTCCAGACTTCTCTGAGTCATTGGGGAGAGGAAGTGACCAAGGCTGGTATCACCTAGAGAGTTCATATTTCATCATCCAAAAGATTAACAAAAGTCAAATTATTTTTAGTACAAAGAGATACCTAACTTGTTACAGATTTGATTTTATAAGTAGCACCTAAGGGATGGGCTCATTAACATCTCATTAATAATGCCTATTTAATTTGCATAAACCCCTAAAAACTTACGAAGCACAATAAAAACAAAAGCCTTTAACTATCCTGTTTCTCACAGGCTGCAAGTTGAAGTGTGGAGGAAGCTGATAATGCTCTTTCAGTTCCTGAGGACTTCAAGCAGCTATAAAAGTTATAGGACATTAGCAAACACCAACAATCAGCTCACAAACAGCTGCCTGAGAAGTTGAAGACAAACATCTACAGAACTGTTGAAGCATAAAATAGTGCAGGAGCACCTGAAAATACAACTATTGAGAAGGGGCACAGCACCAGAGGTTGGTCACTGATCCCTTTGGGCACTCTGGAAGGTTTGGCTGCCTGTGTCTCCCAGCCTGGGGGCACTTGGAACTCACCTGATTTTGCCAGAGGTGAATAAAAGAGATGCAGATGTGTTTGTGGCTTCCCCACGCCACTGGTCACAAATCACACTTGTGTTTAGACCACATTAATTGCAAACAAGTGGTTAAATGAGCAACTCCCTAAAGGTACCAGAAAGGAACTGCTCTGGCAGTTCTGATGCCTCTAATGATGCCACACAGAAACAATAACTGGCCCAAATTCTCTTTCAGATCCCTTCCCCTGACAGAAGATTTGGCAACTGGAGCCAATAGGGAGAGGATCATCTTCATCACCCTTAAGCACCAGGAAAGGAATTTCCAGATGGAATTAGCAAAGCCTCCACCCCTACAGTCTGAGCAGTTGCTGAGTATCATTAATCATTCCATCAAATGCAGCATTCACCACCCTCCTGGTAAGAACAGGTTGCTGGAAAACATTCCTCATTACAATTCCTATTTGGCATTACACTGCAGTACATCTGGCAACAGTGTTTGGGGTTGATGTTTAACTAAACCACATGTACATGCAGAATACCTGTATATTTATCTGTGTTTCTCAGCTCTCCTTCCTGTGACCTATCAGTACATAAATACTGTATCAGATGCCTGCATATATTATATACACCAGATTCATCACATTACACGTGGTAATAATGGTAAACCTGCCCAAAGCAGCAAATAACAACCAGCAGCAGACACACAATATCTTCACAACTGCTTCCTTTTTGGCTCCATGCCTTCTCTGCACTGCAAGAGCTGCTGCACCAGAGGAGTTGGTTAATGTTTGCACTTGCACAGCTCCTGGAAGATGAAGGCACTCAAATAGAGAAATTAATATTCACAGGAGAGCTGTCAGGGGAAGAGTTTTCCCTAAGGTGCACTGTTTCAGTACAGAGTATTTGACTGGCACTTGGGCTCCTTTCCTTCATGGGGAGAAGAAACAGGAGAGGCATAATCTGTTTGTACTCTGATTTTCCCCATCCAATTAGAACATCCTTTCAAAGCATTCCTGTTGTGGGTAGGCAGGATAATCTGATAGATTTCCAGAGATGTGGTCTGTTTTATGCCACCTTCCAGCAGGAGAGGCTTCCCAGGAGAAAGAAGTATTGTCTCCCAGAGGAAGGGGAAGGACACAGCCACAGGCTTCTCTCATGCCTGATCTCACAGGAGTGAACCAGGTTGATGGACAGCTTCTAAATACAGCAAGATCCTCAGATGAAGGCTGGCCAGAGAAGTCCATCTGTGCCTCCCACTTGCATATCCCTGGCTTTGGCTGAGCTCCGAGTGCAGCCAACACTGAAAGGGAGAACAAAGCCTTGGATTTGCAAGGGGAACTCAAGGCCCTCTCAATTCTCTGCAGAGCAAAGTGTACACATGATAAGCCAGGAGAGCCATTCCATGCTGCAGTCACATGCCATGTGGAAGCTATAATCTCACAAGGACAGATATGGCCATGCAAATATGGGTTATGCCTGTGCTAACATCCAGCTCATGTCCCTGGAGCTCCTAAATGGCTTTAATCTGGCTGCTGATGCAGGTGAAAGCTTGTGCTGGAGAAGTTTCATTTCTCCTGGCTCTGATCAGCCAGGAACGTGCTACCCTTTAGCACCTTGACTGGAGAGGTGAGGACATAAACTGGCTACTCCTTGGTTTCAGTCTTTGCAGGTGAGGAGGAGAGGAGCTGCCTGTCACAGTGGGGACAGGTGACATGACTGCAGGCAGCAGGCACAGCAAGAGGGTGGTTGGAAGCAGGCATTGAGAAACCAGCTGCATTTTCAACACCCCCTTCAACCAAACCACTTCTAACAGAGCCCTCACAACAACCAGGCTGAGGCAGCACAGCTACATTCACAGCTATCACCTCTGCTTCCCTCTGCAGAGCTTATCTTGTGTAAAGTAACTCCTAACACTGTAAAATCCTGGCCTGGGTTAAACAACTGTAATGTACCTCAGATGGTCCAAGCAAACCTCACTGCAAAGTTAGCAAGAAATTGTCTTTGCATCTGCTCAGCACCTGCCTGTGAAAGGCTCCTGCATCCAGAGCTGACAGCAAAATCCAGACAAGGGGGAGGAAGAAAGCAGACACAGGAGGCAAAATGCCACAGACATCTTAAGGGGGAGGGCTTGTCTTCATGGATTTTTGTCATTATTGAATCCAACCATGGGTGAAAGCCAAACTTCCCCATGACAGCCTGAGAACAAGAACCTCCCTTTGTTTCAAGACCCACCCACAGGTGCCTTCCCAAGGTGATACCTGCTCTGGGCATTTGGCTCAGCAGGAGCTCAGCACCACTGGCTGCACGAGGAATTCCTGGCCAAGATCATCCCAAAACTTCAGCCAAGAGCAGCACCAGGCCACAGCCAGGCCCTGGAGACCTCAGAGAGAGAGAGGGAGAAAGAGAGAGAAAGAAAGAGAGAGAAAGGCCTTTGTGCAGCCTGGGGATGACTGTGGGTGCCAGAAGCGACCTGGCACAGGAGCACAGCTGAGTCACAGCTGCAGCAATTGCACCAATTGTCCCAGGGACACAACAATTGCACTTGTCTGACTGGTCAGGCCATGATGGCAGCACAGGGCAGTTCTCTTTGTGAAAGCATTTTGCCTGGAAATAAATTTCCAAAACAAAATCCCTTTAACACCAAGCCTTTCCAGGCTTCTCCCTGGCAAGGGCAGTTTACTGAGAGATGTCACTGCTGTTGGCTTTCACCATCACTTGTGAAGGAGATAATCCTGAATTCCCATTACACTGGGGTGGAATTGAGGTCTCAGCTCCAGCCAGCTCCTTAAGAACACCCAAGGTGCAGCCCAAGGTCCCTGCTCACCCCCATCAGAAAAGGGTTTTTTTCCCATCAGAATAAAAGTTTATTTTTGTGTAAAGGGTCTGTCAGTGGTTAAACTCCCAAGCCAGACCTGAGGAGCAGAATGAAGAGGAGGATGAAGTTTGGACTCGTGCACAATCCACATCTTGCCTTCTGCTCTTTGCAAGGAATTTGTCTCCCTCTTCTCAGGATGGACACAAAGCAACTGCACAATCTGCAAAAGCACATCAAGAACAAGCAAATGGATGAGAAAATGGGAAAATTAATCCCCAAAAGGTGTTCCTGCTGTACTGATTTAAGGGGATGACCATACCCTGCAGCATCTGTGGTTTGATCCATGTCAAAGGAGAAGCCTGTTCCTGAGAAATCTGTTTATCAGCAGTACTTTCCCTGCTGCTCTGGGTGGCTGAGTGCTGTTTACAGTCTTTAGAGTTCATCCCATGCTTCCAGTCATGCTTTACAGATCCAATCTGATCCATAGCTTTATCTGGTTCTATAGGAATTAACCTTTGAAACAGGCCACAAGATCAGGTACAGCCTGGCTTTGCCAGCAGTGATCTCTGTGCCTGAGCATCACCTGTACAAGGAAAGGAAAGTACATCAAGTTCCCTGAGAACACAAACTCCAAAGGGTTAACTCAGAGCCAACCATAAACATATCTCCTGAGCAAAGGCTGGGTGTTCCAGGAAGTTCAAAGGTCCACAAGAAACATGGACTTTAGGAAGTTCATTAAAAAATAATTAGAATCAGATATGCACAAAAAAAGGTGTCAACTAAAAAATTGTTTTGAGGAAACCAGAAAACAGGGACTGCTTTGTTGGGTTACTGGGACATTTGTCTGCTTCACTTTTAGAAGGGAGCTGTGGTCATTTGATAGCTGGCAGTGATAAGGCCACAAAAAGTGTGAGGCCACAGGTAAACAGCTCTCTCCTCCAGTTCGAAAAGGGAAGCCAGCCAGCTTTTGCTTTTAGTTCCTGAGGAAACAAAACAATTTATTTCTTTTTAAGGCTCCAAGAAGATATTCCACCCAGGAGGGAATCAAACTGACTGTAAAGAAAAAACCCAAACCCGAATTCCTGCTGGTAGCAGAGACACCCGAGATGAGAGGAGAGGCATTAAAAGAGCAGCTGGCAGCGCAGGGAGGCAGGTGGTGGCAGATGCTCCTGGAACTTGTGAGGGCTGCAGAGAGAAATGCAGCTCCATCTCCAGCCCAGCCCTTCCTGCAGGCCTGAGACACGACCTCAGCTAAGGATAAACACCACTGCCCCCTCGAAATCCCCCCAACACCCTCCCATCCTTTTGCTCCCCTAAAAAGCCACCAGCAAACCCCACAGCTCCACATTTTCCCGTCCAAGGAGGGGGAAAAGCCGGGCCGGGTGCTGGGGGCAGGATCAGCCCCGCGGGAGCTGCGGGGATTCCGGGGATGCCGAGGAGCATCCAGAGAGCTGTGCTGGAACGGGAAAGGCCAGCGGGAGCAGCGACAAACCCCGCGTTATGTAACGGGTGACAAATGCCTTTTGTTATGCAAGACAAGTGGGAGAAAAATCAGCATTTTGCGACTCCCTGCTCGAGCACAAACAGGCTCCGGCTCCGGGGGGCAGCGGCACGCTCCGAGCAGCAGAAATAGATGCCTTGGAAACGCCTCCTGATTTGGATGAGTCAACAGAAAAATACAGAATCAATATTTAGTTTTAAGGGATTGAGCTTGTCAGCACGGTCATTTGATAATTTTGGGGGTTTTGTTAAGGAGAGAGGCCAGTGGGCAGCCATCCACCAGCCTTGCTCTTCAGTCATCTAAAATGAGGGATCTACATCCCCTTTGCTCAGCAGTTGGGGTTCTAGGCTTTTTTAATTAAAAATTTAAATTGGTATTAATAGAATTTCGTAATAAAACTAATAAACCAAAAAGGCACACACATCTGAGTTTAAGCCCTGGTCCCAGCTCTGTTTTTACACTCGGTGAAAATCCCAGCTCCAATTCTCAGCTTGGAGCCAGGACAGAGAATCCTCTGCCCTCTCCTGGCTCCTGTACGTGGCTGAAAGCTGCAGAAATCAGCCTCACGTCTCGCTCTGGGAAAGAAATCCTGCGCTCTCTGAGACCCTGAAAGCGTCTAGTTAAAAAAAAAAAAAAATACATAAAAATCCAAGCAGCAACTTCTGGCATCAGGAAGGTTCTTCATCCCCAGGGACTGCCCAAGGGATGCGCAGCTCCCGTCCCACCCTGCCCAGCGCGGGCACCCAGCGCCACCCCCGGTGCCACACGGCGACAGTGACATCCAGTGGCAGCGCGCACCCATCCGCACCCCCGCGGAACCGCAGCCGCCGAGCAGCTCCGGCAGAGCCCGCAATGCCAATCCCTGTGCCGGGAAAGGTCTGGGTTACTGGGGGACACCCAGGGGCAGGGACAGCACGGCCACACGGCTGGCACTGGCACTGCCAGCACGGGATGGAGCCCGGGTCCCCTGCAGGGACGGGACAGTCACCCCTCAGCTCGTTGCTGCTGCCGCCCCACCGAGGTTGAGCAAGAGCTGTTGCCCAAGCATGAGTCAGCCGGTGGTGCTCGTTCACGTTAACACCTCTAAGTGTGGGTTTGTGTTCCTTCTTTTTCGTTTAAGCAATTCTGCCGTCCTTCAGAAAACCTGAGTCGGTTCCAGAACTCACAGGAAAGACTCTGAAGCAGCTTTAAGGCAGTTGTATCTGCAGGAACAGCAGGGTCAAAGAGACTGTCACCTCCAACACCTGCAAGGGACAGGTGAGCACTACACAGCCACTGTCACACTGTCACCGAGCAGGGGGAACATGTTCCTGCTCAGGGACAGGTGAGGCACTCACACAGCCACTGTCACCGAGCAGGGGGAACATGTTCCTGTTCAGGGACAGGTGAGGCACTCACACAGCCACTGTCACCGAGCAGGGGGAACATGTTCCTGTTCACACAGAGCCTTTACACCTGGAATTTCTAGAGAAGGGTGAGCAGGTGCAGCTGTGATCAGTGCTGGGAGAGCTGGGCAGGTTGAGCTGCTGTCCCAGACATGGGAGCAGGGAAAACAGCAGCTGGAGAAGCTGCTCCAGCCAGGAGGGAGTGAGGAATGAGCCATCGCTTTGGTGTCAGCTGCTGGCAATTAGGGTGTCCCTACCTTGCAATCTGGATGCTCCAACATAGTTGTGGTTTGCTCTGGGCCCACCCCAGCCCAGCCACACGTTTGTCTTCCCGAGCAAAAATGCAGCCCGACCTGTAGCAGGGGTGTTTGTGCCTCCCAGTCCCTGCACTGGTTACTCCAGCACCTGCACACCCCAAAGGTGGAATGAGACAGGGACGGGAGAGGCAGCTGCTGACAGCACCGGCTCTGCCACAAACAGGTGCCACAGGCTGCCCGGGAAGGAGGATCTGTCCCACAGAAACCTATTTTCAAGCTGCTAAAACACAGCCACATGTCCTGTGGGAGTTCTCAGGCACTCAGAACCAGCTCTTTTCTCATCTCTTCTCTCCCCAGTCTCTCTCTCTTTACCTCTGAAATGTCCAATCTGGTCTGTAACGGCTCAGAGGGAGCGCTTTAATTATAAATTGGTAAACTAAAAAGTCAAAAGCCAAGAGCTGCCAGACAACGTGATCCGGGAGGCTGAGTAGGAGTCCCTCGGTGCCCTGCCGGCTGCGCGGCTCCGGGCGATCCTCCCCCGCCTGGCTGCTCCCCGCAGGGCTGGGGAAACACCAGCCAGCCAATTCCTACCGAGAGAAAAGCACCAGAGACACAAAACGCGTGAAACGCCCCAAATCAGCGCAATTGAAATGCAAGAAGCATCCCATCCCAAGGGGCTGGGATTGCTCAGAGCCTGGGGACGGCCCGGCAGAGCAGCCCGCAGCTCCTGCTGCTCCCCTGAGCTCCTGTGACAAGGTGGCTGTGGCATGCAGCCTCGTACAGAAGCCACCCAGACAAACCCCCAGGGGACAGACTGCGCTCACCAGGACCAGTTCTGCCTTCCAGTTACTTTAAGGGGTTTTTCAGGTTCCCAGACACCATCAGAGAGGTCAATGGAAATTAATCAGTACAGCATCCTCACCTGAACAAAAGCAGGGAATTCAGACTGTCTCCATGGTTTCCCAGAACCACAAAGTCCTGCAATACTTGCAGTGTCATAGCAACAAGCTCCAGCCCAGTCAAATGGAAATTCTGTTCTTTTAGACCACAGGATGTTATTAATGATGATCCTGGAGATCCCTAAGAGTTGTGCATCAACACCAAGACTGGATTAGGGCTCTGCAAGTACCAGACCTACCTTCAGTCCATCATTCCTCTTGTACTAACCCCAATCATGGCAGAGCAGCTTTGAGAGGAAGCAGCAGCTCCTTTCCTTGCTGGGGCAGAAACTCCTCTTCCAGGGACTTGGCAGGGCTGGATCACCACTGGGCTTGATGATCCCAAAGGTTTTTTCCAACCTGAATGGTTCTGGGATTCTGAATGGCTCTGGCTGGGCTTTGGGGTTGGCCACGTCTGATTCATGGTTCAATCCAGGCTTTAAGGAAACATCAAAAATATCGATAATTTGTCCCAAAAATCTTTCAGTCTGACCAACAAAACCCCCAAAGATCCTCCACTCCCACCTGCTGGAATGGGACAGCTGGGTGGGGCTCAGTTACTGCCTTCAGCTCTGAACCAAGCAAGAACAAACCCACCTAGACCCCTTTGGGGGACCATCCTCAGAACCAGGACAACAGATTTCCTTTTTAAATGTGCATCCCACCCCCAAACCTGGCCAGGGGCCTGGGATTCCTGGCTGTGCTGGCCCTGTCCTTGACAGGCTGTGGGAGGATGCTGTGTCTCACCCTCCCAGGGCAGCAGAGCAGACACTTGTGTGGTGCAGACCTGGATCTTGAGGAATTTTCCCTGGATAACAGAATAATGCCTCCAGCTAAAGGTGAACCCAGTGTAGGAATGGCTGTGGATGCCTCAGGAAAACACTGTCTGCCCTCAAAGTGTCACACTGGTTTAAGAGGGAACTCAGCAAGGCTGCTCAGGACTTGGATTATCCCACAAATTTTCCAGTAGGACTTGAGGTAACTTAGAAGTGACAGGAAAGCTCTCAAGGAAAACTGAGCTCTGCCAGAAATAACCTCAGTTTCCTGACCAGGTGATGTGGGCAAAGAGGAAAGATTTCACCTTCAGGGGTTCCTGCTCCAAGTAGGATCAGAAAAGCTTTGGAATAAACTGCAGGATGCAATGTTACAGGGATTGCCTTTCCTGCTGCTAGATTTTAGATGATGGCAGAGGCAGCTGGACTTGCTCTCCCCAAAAATCAGCAGAACAGCATCATTCATACCTCAGTTTTCCCTTCACCAGGGCAGAACTTTCAGGGTTGCTGCTGTTAATTCCTCCTTTACACCAGCAAACAGAATTACTTTGGAGTCTACTGTTGTTGGCTTTTTCTTGGCACTCTGGATCCAGCATTCCCCAGTTGTCATTTCCCTGGGGAAGAATTGAGAAAGCTGCAGGAGCACACACAGCCAGCCAGGGATATCCATTTCCCTCATGGAATTCAGGCTACAGGAGCAGAGCTGGCAGTGCCACAGCCCCAGGGACTCTGGGGTCACCTCGTGAGCCTGGCCCTGGCCTGAGCCAGGGGAGTGTTCCAGGGCATTTTGCCTTTAAAAACGGAAATCTCAGCCCTGTGAGACAAGGGGAGTCCTCTGCAGAGCTGGGGAGCTGCAGGTCACACAAACCTGATGGTTTAAAAATAAAAACCCCCAGAAATGCTGACTTTTAACCCACTCTGAGCTCAGGCAGCCCCACAGGATGGTGGTGCCAGCACACACTTACAGGAGAGAATTTGTCTTCCCACGGCTACTTTAGGGGGGGAAAAAAGACCAAGAAGCAGAGAAGGATCTGGGAAGGATCCACACCCTGCAAGAACCACAGGCTCCCCCTCCCACGTCCACACTGCACAGGTTCCAACACAATCCCTTTTGTAAGGATTTACCCCCAAAGGCAGCGACTGATTCCACCTTCTCCTGGCAAGCACAGGCACCGTGGGAAGGAAGCTGTAACCAATTGACTGCAGATACTCCAGGCTGCAGGAACACTCTATTTATTAGGTCAATATTTCATTTGAGCAATACAGTTACAGAATATCACAATGCTGGTTACAAACATAGGATGGCTCCGTGGGCACAAAGGATGGCGGTGAGAAGTGGGGTACGAAACCTTCGTCCTGACACCACAGGGAGGGGGCTGCAAGGTCTAGTAATGAACAAGATATTTTATATAAATGAACGTGGCACTACAGGTGGAGATTCTGGTTTAGAGGTGGGTTTGTGTAATTAGTTCAATTTATACAGTTATACAGTTCAAGCAACATATTTTTCTTTTTTTTTTTTTTTTTAATGCTATTAAATTAAAATCCCCTGTAGTTCAATAAAGTATAAAAATAGTACTGAACCTGGTAATATTCAATAAAATGTAGAATTCATTCACATCATTAAGTAGTAAAGAAATTGTAAAGTTGTAGTTACCATGGCAACATTGCTTCCCAGAAAGGAATATACAGAAAAGAAAAGTTACACATATGGTACCTGCGACGAGTATTTAGCGATCCAACACTGAACTTGTGCACCACAAACCAAGTTTCTAAATATCTCTATATATTTATATAGTATATATCTTTTTCATCTTAAAATTTACTTTTGAAAAGAAAAAAAAAAAATGTGCACTTCAACAAACTCACTAAGGCCACTCATGCTATAGATACCGAGGATTGCAAGGAGTAGTGGAATACGAGACCCTAGAGCACACACTTTACACCACCAGGGACACCTGTGTCACTGCCCAAAACGTTCCTGAGATTTAGGGACAAAAGCATTCCCAGTGCTGCCAATTCTTTGTAGGTATTGGAGTTTATTTTTACGTAAAGGAAAATTTCCCCACTTCTCCCAGAAGCCCTCCCAGGGCCCAGTGGCTCCAGGGCCCCAGGCCAGGAGTGTCAAACACACCCCACAATGCAGAGGCAGCTTTGAACTGACACTGGCCAGGAATTTTCTTGTAAGGTTTTCAAAATCAGGTTCTGCAGAGGCAGCAGAGGGAAGGATCTGCTGAGAGGTTGGTACCAGCAGCACCTGCCCTGCACTGCCTGAGTCCAGCCCCTCCATCACCCGAGGGAGGCTCTGCCAACAGCTCCCCCCGTTTGAGGCATGGTCAGTTTTCCTTCCTGTGCTCTCCCACACTCAGGACTGAAAAAGGGAATGAACTTCAACGTGCATTTTGTACCACGAGAAGCAGCAATGGCACCTCGAGCAAACTCCCCCCTCACTGACCCAAACAACCTCACACAAAGTAAAATATTGAGGGTTTAACTTCATCAATAGTGAAAATAATTTACCTTCAGGTGACACCCCTGCTCACCACTTGCACCCAGTGACTCTGGGGTGATTCCTTTACTCACCTTCAAGGAAAAGATGCATTTCACAGGATTGCCACTCCCAGGTCTGCCCTTTCACTGCCAGCCCCACACAGCCCCTGCGTGGGCACGTTGTGTGTCTAGAAATGCCAACCACTCATTCCTGGATGGATGTTCCACCTGCCAGGCCCCCACCCCAGAACTGACCCAGCCGTGCATGGAAAACCTGCCTGGGCTACGGCAGGAGGGAGAGAGGAGCCACGGGTGCTGGAAAACCCCACAGGGGAACAGAGGGCACTG